CCCCAAAACCCCAAAACCCCAAAACCCCAAAACCCCAGAAAATTTAAAAATTATAGAAACGTTAAATTTAAAATGGAAAGCACTAAGAGTCTGAGAAATGTTCATGAGTCTATTTTTAAGGTACTTTTGGGAGGTAACGTCTAGACTTCAAACTCTGGTCAAAGAATGAGCCTCGAGAATCCACATTTAGAACTTTATTCACCTAAATTCGCGGAGAATTACATGCACCAGGACTCTGATGAAGTTATGAATCAATACGAAGAAAGATCTGTTTGAAAAGATGTAGCTAGAGGGTAAGATATTAGCGCTTATATTTGTTGAGTTTTAACCTACTTTACGAGTCCATTTGGACTGATTTTGAGGAGATCCGGCCAAGCCTGGTGTATTTAGTCCCTTAGTTGTTTAATCCGTCCCCTCATTGCTTATAGGCAAGTCCTGTTGGCCAAATTAGCAGAGAATGATCCGAAATTTTCCCCAGCACTAACCAAAACCCTTGAAATTTTGGATAGTCTGTGCCTTGTTTGGGACGAATTTACCGATACTAGCTTCAAAAATGGCATACATAAGTTTACAGTATCTCCCAAGGGTTTTGGGCTCGAATCCAAACTGATCGGATTTTGTGAGGTTGAGAAGAACCTTCAATTCCAAAATCTGAATATGAGAGGTAAGTCTAAGCCAGTCTTCTTGCATTAAGTTTTCAAAAATAAATCTTAAAACTTTGGATTGTATAGTCATACCTTAGGCTGGCCAATGCCAGAATGGTAATTCTGTCCTCGTGCTTAGGGAACTATATCGCTGAGATTCTTTATTTAAGTTGCTAAAAATGTCTATATAGATTGGAATCTAGAGTCTAGCTTAAAAATGCTTGGATTACAGAAAGAATTCCCAAAAATTAACCATGTTCTGAACACCATCATTCTCATGGGGAAATTCGAGTTCATTGAAGGTGGAGTGAACGACCGGTTCAAGGTCAAGCCAGGCATGACTGTTAACCGGCTTTGCAAACTAAACAGCATTAAAGAGAACGAGTTTGTCAAGCAGTTCTGTTTCTACTCGAAAACAGAAGGACATCGAATGGTCAAGCTACTCTCGTTCTACCTCTATGAGTGACTTTATCAATACATTATCAGTTTATTGGAGACAAACCTGAATAAGCATTTAGAGCCACCGGCTGTAATGAAGAAGACCACGATGGTGTTCCCTCCTACACAAATGGAGCTCACTCAAAGTAACACTTGACTTGGCTTGATGATCAATCTGGTAGTCGAAGAGGTATGATACCAATCACAGAAGGAATATTACTATCTTTTAGAAAGACTCGAGGTCCAAAATCTAACCTACTGAGGAGGGTTCAGGAAGAACCTGCCCGGAAGCAAAGCTCTTGTAGATACCTTATGAGGAGATAAAGGGTTGATAGCATCGCTTGAGAATGATTCTCTAATTCCTCTAATCTCATCAAAATCTCAGCTGGTAACCGTTGACAGCAAGAAGTTGAGTATCAAGTTCAGCTTTGTGGCACAAAGAATGGTGTATAATACTTCCAAGCTCAGAGATTACATCAGAAGCATGGTGCTGACTCCTTTGTTGTTAAAATATCTAAAAGTACTGTCTCAGCCAGTGAAGAACAAAGAAAACATCCTCTACATGAGAAGACTTAAGAAGTATATGCTAAGCTCTGAAGGGCAGAATACTATTCTCACTGAGAGGTTTACTGACAATTTAGCTTTGTTCATGAAGGATATTTCAAAGAAAAATAACCAAAATACTCTATACTGTTGGGGGAAAAGAGACATGCAGTTTATGATCAAGCATTCGATTACCAATCCTCTCCTAGAGTGGTACAAGAATGGTCTTACTGAGTGGTACACCTTCTCGGAGTTTTTAGAGAAGTTCAAAATCTTACTGGAGAGAGCTAGGCCTGAAGAAGTAAACAAGAAAGTTCTCTTCCAGTTTTGCCCTGAGGAGAGAATCACCATGATCGCACTGGCATTTCTCAAAGATCTAGAATCGATCTATTTCGGCACAACACATGTATTGATGAATAAGAAGGCTAGATATCAATTTGAGTCCCAAGCCAAGGGTGGTTCGATCTTCCTGAGGAACCTTCCTTGTGACCAATCTATCTTCATAAGTTATGTGAAAGCTAAATTTAATGACATCAACAGGAGCAGAGAGATTAGGCTTGATTCCCCAATCAGGTGAGCTTTAGCGCATAAAATATAGCTGTGAGGATAGTTCTGATGTAGAGAATATTGACTCCAATCACCAAAGCATGGACCTTTTCGTATCCCCAAAGGATGCATCACAGATCTTGAAGGATTGTACTAACGATCAGTCTCGAAACATGCCGATCCCACTAGCACAGTCAGATTCAATATTCAGGTCTGGGTCACGCGAGGGTGACATCACTCTCACATCGATTCATAGTAAAGGATCACTCCTATCGACATATCAGGTCAATGTAGAGAAGAAGATAATACAGAAAAGGAAGAAGACCAAGAAATCCAAGAGAATCGAGACCAACTACACAAAAGCACTCAGGCAGTACCTCAGAACTAAGAAAGATAATAAGAAGAAAATACCTGATCCTCAGCAACCCATGCATAAAGTTATTAAGGCTTATTGCAAAGAAGCCCGATTTAACAAGGCTGCCATAAAAATCCAGAAGATATTTCGAGGCTTTCTGGTTCGAAGAGGAGGGCTAGAGATGCCCTACCATGGCCAGGAGAGCAAGCGAGACCTAGCTGCAAGGATCATACAGTTCTATTGGCGCCAATACGTGGATTACCTTAACGAATTAGATGACCCAGAGCCTATCCAGTTAGAGTACCAGCCACACTCTCCGATAAGAAACGAGAAGGAAGCTGAAGAAAAGCGTAAAGAGAAGCTTGGTCTTGTTGAATATGACTACATGCCCAGGATCAGTGATAAATCTCGCAAACTTGCCAATAAGAGAAGGAACAACCTGGGCATCTCCCAGATGAATGTTGAAGATATGCTCTTGCACGAGAACAATATGAGGAACTCTAATCGAGCAAAGTCATCTCTGAAAGAAGAAATCAGAGACCAGAGACTCAGGTCTAACTCCAGAAAGGTCTCTCGCAAACAGGCAGATGAGTTCTACTCTAGGCAGAACCATTACAAGCAAAAGCTCCAGTTCAAGATTGAGGAGAAGCGGAAAGAGACCTCTGACTCCTTCGAGGAAATAACCGGTAGGCCCTGTATAAACAGGACTTCAAGGAGCATTAAACGAACATATGACGACCTCATCAACTGGAAGAACACTGCTGAGAGGAAAGTCAAGAACCAGAGAGAGAAGAAGAGAATGGAAGAGAGTATTTCCCTCAAAACCTTCAGATCTAGCATGAGCAGTAAGTATTCAGAATTATCTTTTAGGGTCAAGGAACAGAAACACTTCGAATATCTCATCAAGATCAGTCTGTGATTTAGGCAAGAAGGCCAACGCGCCCATTTGGCCTCTGAAATTCGAGAAGCCAGGTAATGATGCAGACAATATGCAGATGTCTCTGGTATATCATTCTAAGGATCTGAGTGAGAATACCATTGAAAATAATGGAATCTCTTTCTTTTAAAATTCATTCAATTCGGGAACTCCTTTGTGGGGTTTTGGGGTTTTGGGGTTTTGGGGTTTTGGGGTTTTGGGG